GCATAGACCGCTCCCCCCCACCCCCTCCAAGGATGTAAACTGACAAGAAAAATTGTCACTAAGTTCTCATGCATTCTTTTTAAGAATCTAATCCTGGAAGTTTTTATGACCTTGAAAAACATCTCATGCGACCCCTTGGGCCTCAGGAGTAAGCCTTCACACAAAGCATCATTTCAGAAAGCCAACACACACTGAGAACAGGCTGATGCAAAGCAAGCTGTTTAGTTGAAAGTCTCTGTGGCATTCTCTGTTCCAATATTTCTGCCACAAAAGTAATGTAGATAATTAACGTTTCAATAAAAACCTTAGGAGCAGTCAGAATTGTGATGAATAATGCACGCAACTCAGATTCTCAGTTTTAGCATTTTGTATGTGTGGGGAAATACTTTATTAATTTTAGTTTTCTAATTACACTTTTTGGCACTCTAGGGGAACTCCACGTGCACAGTAGATGTCAGATTAGATAACCTCAGAAACTGAAAGCTTTTATTGCACCTTAGCTCTGGATGAATACAAGCAGTATCAGAATTTGTTTCCCAGCAGTGCCACAGCTGTTTCTCCATCCTGAACCTACACATACCACTTTCAGAAGCAGAGTATTCCCCTCTAAGTATCAGTTCCATTTGTGGAAACTACCCAAACAGACAAAAGTTACAACAGTGAAAGAGATGGTCTTCATCAGCACATACTCACATACTGGCAGCACAAGGCAGAAGAGACCAATATTTATTCAGACACAATTCTCTATCATTATCCAGCATGCCAGAACTTGGAATCTCAAAGAAAAAGGTTCTCTGCTAGTAAGACATCAGTTATCCTCCACCGAACGACAAAAAACCCTGCCAGTCCTGAGCGATTCTTTGCATGTTCTCTGTTAAAATCAGGCAAAGGAAGGTAGTTCTAATGCACTCATGTAGTTTCACACTCAGTATTTTTTTCCAATGCAGTTTACATAGGCATTTAAGAAACAAGTGTGTACCTCCGTGCGCGCGTATCTTCTCTGGATTTTAAGCTCTGATCCATAGATCAAGACTGAAACTAATATACAAGTCTTTGGAGACATACTCCTTAGAACAAAAGTTTTGCTGAGGGACACAGCTCCTTTGTCAACTTGTAACTGTTTCCTTATTGGTATGCGAACTATTTCATGCAAGGTCGAGAGAACATAAACAGAAGAGCTGGCTGTTCTGAGGGTTCTCATAACAAGAAATATAGGTTTATAGTATTCAGGTATCACCTATACCTTGATGAACCATGTTGCCTGTAAAGCCACCAAAGGGCTCCAATTGACCTGGCTATACATAGGAAAGATACAGTCCTGGTACAAGATGATGTCTTAAGTTAAACAAAGGTGTGTTATATTAAATACAATCAAGCTAAGCATGTGTGCACCCAGTGGTGCAGTGGGAAACTCTGAAGAAACCACTTATTTGTATTGGCATACCATGCTACTGAAGGAGTGTTCTAGGTCCAAGTAGACAGACCAAGCCTCATAGTTTGTTACTCAAACACCAGTCCTTTTACTCCTTCTTTTAGTCTTTTATAACACACCTTTGTTGAATAAATTCTACTCTGAAGTGCCTCAGAATCTCCTTAACTCATATGAGGCTTGGTGGTTACACATACACATGATTTCACCACCACAGATCTACAGCAGATGCTGAATTTTAATAAGCTTTCCTCGTGCCTTAAAGAGTGAAGTTATAAGTTGGTGGGTTCAAGATTTTGTACAGTCATTACTTAGGGAATTGTGGTACCTTGTAATTTACTTGTTTCAAACCCTTTAAATCAGTGCCACCCCTTCAAAGATAACAAACCTACCTACCACATGCATATGTGCACTATTATGACTCAAAGAATTCTTGAGTCAAACATTAACAGTACTTATTTTCACAGAAAGAACAGGTTTATTTTCTTTAAAAATAGATCTTCTGAAAGGATTAGAAGCAACTGTGACGAATAAGTAGCTGAAATTAAGTATCAGTGCACTGAAAGGCAGAAAGAATCCATTTTAGTCCTGTCCCAGTTGGACCAATTCTGCTCTTTCCTCCCCCTCAAAAAAACCCACACACCCACAACTGAGTAGATACCATTTAAAACGATCAAGACTTTTTTCCACTGAGTGTTGCCCACTTTTGGCGTCTGACAAAACAGGATCTTGTGCTTGTCACACACAAATATTCGGTCCAAGACGAATTTGGAAACTGCAGTGTGAGAGAGATTACTCAGTGCAGTGTCTCTGCAGACATTCCGGAGAAGCTCAAGTCTTTCCATATGAACAAAGGGATGGCGTAGCAGATTTCCAGTGAAAGCTTTTCCAGTAGGCTTTATAAAACAAAGGGGAGAAAGAAAAAACAAAGTGCAAATGTTTAGTTTCAGATCAAATTCTAAACTGTAAAAGTCCTCAAACTGTGCATGATAATGATCCCCATGCTCATGATAACACTACTAAACATAAACTGAAGAAGTAACAGTTTCCTTCCTGCACTGCTGCTGTATGTGTTGTACGTGGCATTCCTCTTATCCAAAAATTGATGACCTGTTTAACTTTTGTGAGGCTAAGAATCATAGAATCATAGAATCACCAAGGTTGGAAAAGACCTAAAAGATCACCCAGTCCAACCGTTCACCTATTCCCAGTAGCTCCCACTAAACCATGTCCCTCAACACAACACCCAGCCTTTCCTTCAACACCCCCAGGCTCGGTGACTCCACCACCTCCCTGGGCAGCCCATTCCAGAGGAGAGAGCCCTGACTACAACCACATCCCTCTGCCTCATGGTTAATTGCGAGAGAGAAAGAACAAGATTGCCTGATACACAGATGACGAGTATTTTAATTTTCTGTTGAAGAGTCCTCTTCCTTCCACTAAGTGTGATTTACACACCTGGATCTGGGAAGGAAAGAGATAACACTGTTCACAGAAAAACAGATTTTACACTGCCAATTCTTTGTTAATAGCAAAGAAAAATTCACTTATAGTTTTGGCACAGCACATTATGGTGTCAAACTTTTCTTTAGCTTCACAACTTCCTTATTTTAACGCTGTTACCTTTTGCAGCAAGCACAAGGTTAGAAAGCCACACTGCAAAGTGAAGTACATCATTCTTATTTCCACTGCTAACTCTCAGGCTTTCACTCTGGAGGGACTTCGTTATTACTCAAGTAAATATAAGAAGCTGAATTTGACCAGGTCCAACGCCACCAAGCATTGTCATCTGTTTCTTTATTCAGATGGTACTTTACACAGTGCCCAAGCAACATATGAGAAAGGGATGGTTTTACATTTTGTCCCAATTATTTATTCCCTGCTCAAGATGCAATTTGGATGGCCTGACAGATTGCTTATCAAAACAATTCCTTTTGCATGCAACCAGGATTAATATTATTGTTCTGTGGTTCACGTTGTCACAAAGTCAAGAGGGAATAGTTTTAGATCAAGAACTTTATTATCCTCTTCCATACAAGCAAAGAAAGATATTAAGACTTGCTACTGCCAGACTTCCACTGAACGAAGCCCTTCTCCCAAGTACAGTGAAGATAACTTAAATTTTATTTATTTTTTTTTAACATAAGGAAAACAAAGTGCCATGCTTATACAGATATCCACATTCCATACTGCTTTAAAGAAATACTCTAAATATTAGGTGACTGATTTATCCAATGGCAAAAAATTGGCCCTAGCTCTCCATGCAAACAGTCTTAAGTTCACATTTGCATTTGGAATTCTCAGTTTCCTTGAGAATTAGCAAGGAATTTGCTAAGAACTGCATCTGTTCTGCTTTATTTCTGAAAGTACAGAACTGTGCACTTGGATCAACTTGTATTGAATACTACTGTGTTTGTGTTTCACTTTGGACAAATTCTGCAATGTAAAGCACAAAGAGCACAGAAGATGAAGAAAAAAAATGGAATCTGATAAAAAAGAATCAGAAAGACCAGGCAAAGAACCAAGAGGAATGAAAACAGACAAGACTCAGGCTTGACCTCGAGAACCATGAACCTGATGATTATAACAAGACATCTAAGACACTGTAACAAGTAACCCAAAATGGGGCCATTACATAAGAAAGGCAAGCAAAAACTGATTGACCTGACTTGATAAAAGTGGTAGTGCTATGTTCTATATACTAGAACTATATTCTCCTAGAAGTGGAAATGCATTAATTTGGACAGATAGAAGGTTACTGTAACGAAGCAGCTTTGGGAAGCTGAAAGAAATTCTGTTGGCTCTATGAAAAATTAAAGTCCGAATAATGATTCCTGTCTAGCAGTTCCTTTAACCACAGGAAACCCTTACATAATCTCTCTTTTCTCCCACTCTTTAATACATATAAACTCTTATCTCAATGGTACGCACCTGGAATTCTTTAGTCCAATGTTTTTCCTCTGGCACACGTGCCTCCTCCACTTTTGTCACAGCTGTCAGTATTAATGGCTCTTGTTTGGCACCATAGCCTGGAGAAGGAAAAAAGATAGGAGCATTATGGAGGGTGGGGGGAAAGCAACAATTTCTGCTTTACAGCCAACACAATGGAAAAACATTTTCTGCAATAAGCAGGCAAAACATTACGATTTGTTTCCAGATGGGAAAGTACTAGAGAAGACATGAGAGGCTATGAATATTTTAAAGAACATACTCTGTGGGAATTTTGGATGTAATTTTAATTTAGTTTTCTCAAAGAAACACGACCATTATCTTTCTTGAGGGGGCTTTCAAAAACAAACTGCATACAAAGAAACACAGAAATTGAAAATCCAAATGTCAGGAAAAATAATAATGTTTGCACAGGTTTTAAGATCTAATAATGTATGATATTGGAATTTTCTTTAGTTGAAGAACAACTGGATGCATACGACAGTACAATACTTTTATTTTTTCAATAAACTTCCTGGAAACTGTAATTTTGCAGGCTTCTGCCCTTCCCACATCCATATTAATTGGTAAGTTTCACCTACTGTAAACTCTTAGACATTAGCAAAAAAATAAAAAGAAAGCATTGTTAAGGAGCACCTTTATTTTCTTAGCAGCAGATCTAATCAGCACTAAAGAATACAAGATCCCTTTATTATTTATTACTGGAACGATGGCTTTTCCTTAGAGACTTCCACAAAGAGAAAAACAAATTCAGTGAATACGTTCATTCTTTTTAATTATTTTAGAGCAGCTAATAATCCCAAACGAAATTAAAGTATGTAAGGGAAAAACCTCCTGCATCTTTCTGCAATTTGCATGCTACAGGGAAACTGAAAAATAACACAATTCTGTAGTTTTACATGATGCAGGAAGAAAAAAAAAATTGGAGTTTTCCTTAACCTCAAAGGGAAAAGAACAGGATTTCTCCCTCAAAATTTCTTTCTATCCATACGGAATTATTTTCCCCTTCATATAGTTCATTCTTTTATGAATAGCCTTTCTTCATCTGCAACCACAATTGTTTATGGTTTTATGCTCAAGAAGACATCAACTGTTTATGCCCCCCCCTTTCAAGGTAGCACTCCACTGTGCCCATGCTGGATTTAAACAAAAGGAACAGATGGAAAAGCAACTTGAAACTGAAAGGAATGCAACATCCCTAAGTGCCACAACTACGCGTCTCCTGAACGGCTCCAGGGACACCACCTCCCTGGGCAGCCCATTCCAACACATTACCACTCTTTCTGAGAAGAAAGTTTTCCTAATATCTAACCTGAACCTCCCCTGACACATCTGGGTTGGTTTTTTTTTTTGCTTGTTTTTTTAATTATTATTTTTTTAATTTAATAAGAGTTCCTCCAGAATTAGCCATCATGCTTACTTGGGCTTTCTCCTGGTATATTCACATTGCTTCCCTTCATCAGTCCCAATATAAACACTGCAAACTCCAACACCTACATACTCATGGCTTTGTAAGACTGAAGCTTAAAAAATTATGGAGCTCCTGCTCAGAGATCCTCCTATCCAAATAAGAAAGAGGATTCAGCACAGAGGAAAAAAAGACTAAAAATGGTAAGGCAAGATAATGAAAAGCAAATAAATGCAGAGGGTGTGCTCTGCTTATTTATTATTTTAAGTACATTTTAGTTCCTCTGACAACTTCTGGTGGAAATAACCACTCACATAATACTTAAGCTCAGAAACAAGAGTTGGCATAGCATAAAATACTGGAACATTTAACTACCTTACATAAGGCTGGCACATCTGCAGATATACCAAGGCTCAAAAACAGCTAAAACTGAGGAGATCTACAAAGTTAGTCTATAGCTTTCACCTTTAAGACTTAAAAGGTACACCTAGCATATTTATCTGCTATCAAGTCAACGATACAAATAGCACTAGTGATCCCAGTGCTTCAGAAGTTACGTATTTTTTGCATATTTTAGGCAGGTGCACAAGTACAGATGTCTTAGAACTGTAGGTTGTGTCATAAGCTCTCTGTAGGACGATTTTTTTTTTTTCCTAACGCCAGCTCTTCGTTAGACTTTCTTTAGAAAACTCTAACATGCTGTGCGGTGTCATCAAATGGCTTAAATTCCCCACCAGTCTAACACCATCCGGGCTACTTATGCTAAGCAAAAGCCTATCAGCTCTTTGTCAGTCAAACGGCAGACGATAAAGCTGAATGCAAGAAGCAGGGCAGAGGTGGCTAGGCTAAGTGTGCTGTGAAAGAAAACAAGCTTTGCATGAAATCAAGCCATACGCAATGCTGCCACAGTTACAAGAGGACAGAAACTAGTATTGCGGGAGCTTTATTTTGGTCATTTTTAAACAGGTAGCTTTGTACACACTATTCTGTACACAAATTCTCCTCTTCGGAGATGAAGACACTCAAGCTGAGTACATCTGAAAAAGCAGACCTCACAAGACAAAACTGCAAAACATATTTTCCTCTGTTCCTGAGCATTGAGGAAAAAGAAAAAAGGATCCGATACAAAGTTTGCAGACTTCTACCAAGACAAGCAGGAATTGAACATCAGCACTGACATTTCTACAGATTTATTTGTCCTGTTCTCAGACCTACTGAAAAAGAGTGGTAATGTGCTGAGAAGCATTTTGCACAGGAAGTGCATTTATGTGAATGACTATACCATCTCCTCTTTCCCAGCAAACATTGAACTTACCATCTGGATCTTTAAAAGTCAATGTGATAAACTTGCTGGCAACCATGAACATGAATATCACCCAAAAGCATGCAGCTAGAAGCAGCCACTGGTGGTGCATGTTGTCAGACATGAGCCATATAAAGTTGTTGCTTCCTGTTTGAAAGGGGAAAGAAAGGCACATGAATACTTTTTGTTCCAGTTTAGAAAAATGCTCTCCGTAACTAAACTCTAGTTAAGTATATCACAGAATCACCAAGCTTGGAAATGACCTCCAAGTCTAGTCCAACTGTCCACCTACCACCAGTATTTCCCACTGAACCACGTCCCTCAGTACAACACTTAAATCTTTCCTTAACACTTCCAGGGACAGTGACCCCACCACCCTCCTGGGCAGCCCATCCCAGCACCTCATCACTTTTTCAGAGAAGAAATTTCTTCTAACGTCAAGCCTGAACCTCCCCTGGTGCAACTTGAGGCCATTCCCTCTCATCCTATCACTAGTTACACAGGAGAAGAGGCCAACCCCCACCACACCACAACCTCCCTTTAGGAAATTGTAGAGAGAGATAAGGCCTCCCCTTCTCTTCTCCAGACTGAACAATCCCAGTTCCCCCAGCTGCTCCCCATAAGACTTGTGCTCCAGACCCCTCACAGCTCTGTTGCCCTTCTCTGAACACACCCCAGGTAAGCGTGTCCAGAAAGTACATCATATATACAACAAAAGAAAAGCAGCAGACTCCTCTCCTTCTATTTGCTGGTAGTTTTTTTCGGGTTTTTTTGGGGTTTTTTTTTTTTTTTCCTGTTCTTTCAACTGAAACAACTGCTTAGCCAATATGAGCACCTGCTGCTATCAGCGAGATATTTCTTTCCTCATTCACCCCACCTTGGTCTGACTGCTCACAGATTGCTCTGGGTTAGAAGGGGCTTCAAAAGCCCATTCAGTTCCAAACCCCTGCTGTGAGTTGGGCTGCCACCCCCTCGATTAGGCTGCCCAGGGTCAAAGCAGCAAACCTCCAATTTTTTTTTGAGGGTAGTTCTTTTCCCCCATTTAAATTTCTGAGGCAGATGATCACAGCACAAGAAGGTAAAATGAGGAAAGCTCCACTCCTCAGGGTGGCCAGCCAGCAGATCAACGTTAACAGTATTCATAACTGTCCTGTGTCAACTCAGGACACAAGACATTCCTCTCCTGCCCAGCCTACAAAAACCACGGGCAAGATGCTACTGAGCCAACACACTAAGCTTAACCCAAAGCTGTATTTCAAGGCAGTAATGTTCCTTTTCATTTTGTTACTTTTGTTGCCAGTAAAGCATCAACTGGAAAGTTTTGATTTCCATGATGTTAATTATTACCCACACAGCCAGCAGGAGGAGTTTCCTCGCAGCAGTAAGTGAACTCTTCCTTTGGAGAACATTGATAATGCAACTTCAGAACTCCTCACCAAATAGGATTTAAATCAAATACTTTATGCAGTGAGATTCTCACAACAGTCTTGGGAGATTTGTACAGATGCAGAAAAAAAAACAAAAACAAAAAAGCACCTGCATGGAGTGCCATCACATTTCTGCACAGCCACTTGAATGAACTGTCAGAGAGGAGAGGCCCTCATTCCCAGCTTATAAAATCATGCTAGTTATTGCTTCTGAGCAAATTTTGCATTATTTTTTTGGCTGCATACCAGTGTTTTGCCTTTTCATACCCACTGAAGCTTCTGACATTCTTCCAACACATCCATCTGCCACACCCTTACTCCTGCTACAGGTGCTGACTGCTTTTCCAACTAGCTTCTGCCTTCCAGCAATGCAAATGCTTCTAAGAGCTCTCACTGGAGCTGACAGAAGTGAAATGTCTCCAGGGTACACCAAACACATGTGCAGGCAAGGCAAGCAGCTGAAAACAGACGGAGGAATCTCACCATACCATTACAATAATGCCAAATTTCTCCAAACCATCAGCTCCCAAAGGTGCTTGTTTTGAAGTATGCTACAGCATCAGCTATCTTCTGTTCAAGACACCAGAACTCACCACATTTGCTTTTAGACAAGCTGGCACTTCAAAGACATGAAAAATGGTCTGGGATGGATCGTCCCATCTAACACATGACACCTGCTCTACATAAAGCCAGGAGAAACAGACCTCTGACAGTCAGAGTATCCCTGCTAGGCCAACCGTTTTCATAACGATGCCATCATCGTTATGATACACGTCATTCAGTAAGGAATGTGGATCCCTGTTGCTTTCAGTAATTTATGTACTGCAGTTCCATGAAGTTGTGTTGAATGTCACGGGGAGAGCAGCTCCGATGCACTCCAACTTGGAAAACAACAGCAGTCAGTACCCACAGGGCCTGCAGCCAAATCCTCTGCTCTATGGGTAGGCCAGCAATGGGATGGGATCACAGTCACATCCGTAACAATCACCATTATTACCTCTCAATACATTGAAGCTGAAAAGAAAACACTAAGCCATTTGTGCACAAAGCAAATCTACAACCAGATTCCCTGATGGAATTGTGTTGTCAGAGGATTTATCAAAATGTACTTACAATGGCTGGCACGATTACTCACTTCCAGCACCTAAACAAAACTGCATCTACCCTAAGAAGCAGAACTACTCAAAATGATACACAGAAGTAAATCATTATTCTCACTTAAATGAGGTGACCATCAACATTTTTAAAAGAAGGTGTTTATGTTGCTCCCCTTTCTCTAGCTTTTTCTTTCCTAACAGAGATATTTTTCATCATTTTCACATACAGTAATCACACTTCCTGGTCTATCTCTGATCTTACTGCAATTTGTCTTTCCTGCTACTTATTTTCTAGTGAACACACGTACATACATATTAGCTCCTGAATCTCCCTTTTAAATGTTTCCTTTAACTTCTAAATGCACATTTTACTTCTTGCATAAAATATTCTTTCCTTACAAGTAGAAAAACCAAGAATATCGCTGAAGGCTCAGTTCATCCTGTCATAACATAACACAAAGGGATTTTTCAAATTGCTCCTTTTCCCTCTTATTACAATTCTGTGTTCTTTAGGGGCACAGGAGCCAAAAAAAAAAAGGAAAAAAAAAGGTAAAACGAAAAAGAAAAAAACAAAAACCACCAACCTTGTCTCCATGCATTCCTCTGTTCTTTCATCTCTGGCTATCTGCCCTGAATCCAAATTGGCACACAGCCCCCAGAGCAGTCAGGTGCCAGTTTTCCCAAAGCATGTACAGAAGCACAACGGGGAACATATACACAATCGTGAACCAAAGAACAAGATTCAGTAAGTGAGTTATTTGTCTGTGAGGAACATCCTATCTGGAAAAAACACTAGGACTTTGGGGAAAATTCCTGTGAATGACAGAACAGAGTGTAGAATGACAGCTCAAGGCATCAAGGTCGGAAAAGACCTCATCTAGTCCAACCATCAACCTATCACCACCATACCCACTAAGCCATGTCCCTCAGTATCACATCTACTTAAAAATTTATCCTGAACAGGAACTTTTGTCCTATTCTCTTGTTATGCTACTTTAGCCATTCCCTCCTGCTCTCCAGAAGGTGGTCTTCCATCTACTTCTAAAGAGCTTTTTAGGTATGAGTATGAATGACAATCATCGAAGCAAGCCAGGCCCTGGTAGCCATAGAGCTGGCAGACACGATCCACCAATGCTGAGAGCTGGCAGCCATCCCCAGAAACCAAAGACATGCCCTGGGAATGAATAGGGCTATGCAGAACATGATGGAAGGAGACTTGAAGATTTAAACAGTATTAAAACTTAAAGCATAGGCCCCTGCTTGGCAGCTTATGGTGCCTAGGCAGGGGCCACTGTCCCTGGTGGGACAGTGCACAGTAAATGACAGCAGTACACTAGGAGCCTCCAACCATCAACCTACTTGCCTATCATCAGCATGTGACTAATGACATAACTCGAAGTGCACAACAAAGAACTAAAAGCAGTAAGATGAGATATCCAATTCATTTCCATCAAAGCCTCCCTTCTCTTCAGATAAAGTTAACAGATCTGGACAATTTCTTATACTTAAAAAAAAAAAAAAAGCAAGCCAAAATCTTTCACAGGCTCACTTCTTAAAATTGAATGATGATGCTAAATGCCATAAAGCACGTTACAACAGGTATTTCTGAAAGCTGATTCTCTCTGAAGGCTCTTCAGCACCTTGACAGCATTCACAGGCTTGTCACCTGCTCTCAAAAACGGTCAGCTTTCACCGAGCACGTGTAGCTCACCTGTCAGCAGGAAGGAAGGCAGAGAACTAGTTCAGCATCCCAGCAACAGCCGCATCACCATCCTGGGCCATAGGCAGGCTTGGTGTGAAGGGGCTTGGCAGACAGCAGCCACGCTGGGAAGCACTGCAAGGCATTCAGCTCAGCATTGAGAGGCAGCCTCCCAGACAGACACTGGGGCCACACAGGGCCCTGAACGCTCTTTGCAGCGTGGCAGCAGCTGTTATCCCAGCATCAGGGCTTCCCCAGCCGGCTAGATGCTGAGATGCTCGTTGCCTCAGGGGAGGGATAAGAGCAGGGTGAGCCTGCATCAGGAACATGGGACACTACTGCGGTGTGACAGATATGGGCTGCGTCAAGCAAAGCCTGTCCACAGCCCAAAAGCCAGATCCGGGTGCAGGCAGGTGATGGAGCTTGGCTAACCAGAAGCAAACTTTTCCCGGTTAAGGAGGAGAAAATCTTCCCTGCCAGAGCCATAACCAAAGCTTCTCTCTTCGTGCAGGGCACCCGCCAGCTCTGCCCCGCCGCTGACAGCCCGGCCTGCCATCACCGCACCCGGAGCCGGGCCTCGGCCGCCCGCTCCGCGACCACTCGCGAAAAGTAACCTCCTGCGGGGGACACAGCCTCGTCCCCGCGGCGGCTCTAGGCACGGCGACCCGCCTCCCACCGCGGCTCCCGGCCTGCTCCGGCTGCGGGCTGCCGGGCCTCCAGCTGAACACCCCCTCCTCCCCCTTCCCCAGGCTCGGACAGCGCGAGGCGGAAGCGCCGCCGACTTACCGGCCCTACGGCGCCGATTCCCGCAGCCCCGGCCCCCGCGGCGGGGCGCCGCTCCGGCCCGGGCCCGCCTTACGCGGCGGGGCGGCGCTCCGGCCGCGGCTGCCGCATCCCCCCGCCCGGTTGCGGGCGGCGGCGACGCCTCCCCGCTCAGCCCCGATTGCCGCTGCTGCTACCGCTGCCGCCGCCGCCGCCCAACCCCGCCGCCGCCTCCATTTCCTCCCGCCGCGGGTAGGCCCCGGCCTCGGCGGCGCCCCCAGCCCCGCCGCTGGGAGGAAGAAGGTGGAGGCAGCCGTGGGGACGGAACGCTCCGCTCCGAGCAGACTCAGCGTCCCTGCCGGCCGCCAGCCCTGGGGCGGAGGCAGGAGGGAGGGAAAAGATGCTCGCCTCGCCTCGCCTCGCCTCGCCTCGCCCCGCCCTACCCCGCCTCACCTCGCTCCGGCGGGAGCGAGATGCCCTACCCCGCGGGTCCCGGCCCCAGAGAGTCCTCTTCCCGCAGGTACGGGGCCCGCCGCAGCCCTCGGCTCCTTCTCTGTGGGAAGATAAGCCAATGCTCGGATCGGCTGTCGAATAGCCGTATATTGACTGATCAATTCCTCTGAAAATGTCGTGGATAGTTTCCTAATGCTGCCCTAATAGTATTTCCCAAGCCCTGCAGAAGTGAAGCTCCTGGTGTGGAAGCCCCTGTAGGAGAGACTGACAGTGGGGCAAAGCCTTGCCATTTGAAGTCCTGCTGAATGCTGAAGACATATCTTGAAACATGAAATTGCGTGATAGAACACGTAGGAGAGGCTTTATTGCCTGGCTCCAAAAGCTGTGCCCCTATTGCTTGACCCAGCTGTGTTCTCTGTGTCTGATCATGGGAATCACAGAATCATTAAGGCTGGAAAAAAAACCCTCAAAGATCATCTAGTAGAACCATCACCCCCATGCCCACTGACCACATCCCTCAGTGCCACATCCCACGTTTCCTGAACACCTCCAGGGATGGTGACTGCACCACCTCCCTGGGCAGCCACTGCCTCACTGCTCTTTCTTAGAAGGAATTTTTCCTAATATCCAGCCTGAACCTCCCCTGGTGCAACTTGTGGACACTGCATCTTGTCCTGTCACTTTTGCATTGAGAAGAGGCACAAATGTGAATGTCCATACTGCTCAGCACTGGCTTACTTTGCAGTAGACATTTGTAGTTTGTGCTACGTACCATTTCACCCTGCATTTCTTATGAAATCTTGTGGGTAAATATATGAAAATATGAAAATTGTTTTTTTTTTTTTAATTGTGTGAATAAGTAAATACGTAAATAACACCTGTTCCCTCGAAACTGATTTATAGTGGAAGATTTTTTTCTTACCTTAAAACCTACGAAGTCTATGAAGAGCTTGCCAACAGCACAAGATCAGGGCCAACAGCTTGAGAATGGACAAGTTCGGTAGAGCCAGAACTGTAGTAGATGTTTCTATCTGTGTTCAGCTATCAATTAGTGAAAGAAGAAAAAAAATCCAATGACAGAAGAGTTTGAAATGCTTTCACAAATCAATAAAAATTAAAACAACAAAAACAATACTATACTGGAGCCTGGCCAAGAAAGCCCAGGGAAGCCTAGGGATGGTCTTCATATGAATGCTGTGGCAGCCTCCAGAGCAGGCCAGGCCAACACAAATGCATTACCAGCAATGCCTTAGGATGAAGTCTTAGTCAATGGGTTGGGTTGGGTTGAATCTCAAAGATGATCTAGTACCAGCCCCAAAGCCACAGGCAGGGTTGCCAGCCACTCAATCAGGCTGCCCAGAGCCCCATCCAACCTGGCCTTGAAGAACTCATGGGATAGAGCATCTACAACTTCTCTGTGGTGATGGTGTGGTGATATCCTCGTCCCTCCCTTCTGCCTGTGAAATAGAAATTGCGATAGTTACCTTGCTCATAAGGCACATCAGAAGTCTGAATTCATTCACCAGTTTGAGATTTGCGTAGGCTGACCACTTTGGAAGTTGCTTCTTTCTTCAGTCTTGAGGGTGACGACTAAGGTGCAGCCATGCACAGATTATTAATAAGCAGTCTTCAACTGTGGAACCAATTTCTGACAGATTATCAGACTCAACCCAAGCATTTTAACCTTTCAAGTATGTTGTTACTGACATGTATAATAATTAGACCTGTATAAATTGAACATGTTTTTTTCCAAACTTAAGCACAGTTAATAAGCTTTGTTTTCAGTAATTGGACCCAAAAATGTCTGATGGAGTTAAATAATGTGTTACATAGGAAACTGTAAAGTTGGATTATGAAATTGCTAGCTAGGGTTGACAGGGTTCTTGCTATTAGGAATGTTAAAATGTAGCGGGGAGCTTTAAATTGGCAGCAAAATCAATGGTTGTGTTTGTTGGTTTATAGAATCAGAGAATCAGAATTGTTTGAGTTGGAAGGGACCTTTAAAGGTTATCTAGTCCAATTCCCTTGCAATAAACAGAGACGTCAACAGTTGGATCAGATTGCTCAAAGCTCTATCCAGCCTGACTTTGGATGTCACCAGGGATGGGGCATCCACCACCTCTCTGAGCAACCTGTGCCAGTGCCTCACCACCCTCACTGCAAGAAACTTCCTCCTTACAGCCAATCTAAATCTCACTTTTTTTAGTTTGAAACTATTTCCCCCTTGTCCCATCACATCAGACCCTGCTGAAGAGTCTGACCCTTCTTTCTTATAGCCCTCTTTCAGGTACTGCAGATACTGCTGAACCTGAATTCATCCACATTTTCTTTGACTTTCCAAGCTTAAGGTATTCAGCAAAAGCATAGCTTCTGCGTACTGTTAAACTCATGAGATGTTTGTTTGTTGTTTGTTGTTGTTGCTGTTTGGTGTTATTTCAGGTTTCAACCCAATGCCAATTATTTGGATTAGTCTCGGTAGCTCTTTCAGTTAAGCTTTGCCTCCATAAAAGCTCACCCTAAGACAGGACACTTGTCCCAGATAAAATACTGAGGAAGCACAAATCTGATTGAAATCAGCAGGAACAGATGCTTTTCCTAGTGCAGTGTCATTACTGGCAAGGTCACTGTTCTGCCTTGTGGCTGTGTTTCCAAGGCATGGCTGATCACACTTTGTAACCGCTCTGACATGGTGTGCTGGTGTGTAATATATTTATTAGGGTTTGATCTCCATCACTACTTTCTCTCTCTTTCTGGAACTTTAGCAAGCTGCTTGAAATGTGGATCTGACTGACGAAAGGTAGAAAAGATAGAACACATTGTGGCCTCTGCAGCCACAAAAAAATCAGACTGAAGAATAAGCAGCCCTAAGAGGAGTCTCATACAGTTGCAGGATTCATTGGTGCGATCTAAACAGTAATTCCTATGGAGTGCCACAGGTAAGATAAGTCAGCAAAATGTCATATATTCATTTATTTTTTTTTTTCTGTAGTAATAACTTAAGCAAGGAGTCAGCTATAAGGTGTGTATCAAAAACAGCTGATGTATAGGAAAGACTGTAGTAGCTATAGGAGTGGGTGGGGGGGGGAGCTTAGGGCAGATATCTGTACCACAATGAGACTTGCTGTGCTAGAGGCAAGTTCAGATCCACAAGCAGCAAATAAGACTTTTTTCATTTGAAAACTAATTCCACTTTTTTATTGCAAGGTAGGAAAGTTTATCTCTTGATAAGTGCCTTGAGAACTGTTAAATCTTTTTATACCTTTATACCTTATACCATTAGATTTCCTTTGGATTACAAGACAAAAAATGTAGACTGATGTAAATAAGCCATTAGCTGAACCACATAGCTTACCTTGAAGTGTTAAAACGTTTAATCTGAGCTGTCTTTTGAAAGGGAAAACAACTCTGTGGGGTTTATTTGCATCAGTGAACTGAGCATGCTGCCAAGACTGGGCTACAGTAGCTAAGAACTACATTTAATTATCAAACCGATGTCAATTAAAATTGAATCCAAACATTCAAAATTAATTATATAGGCCATCAAATGAGTGCAGCCAACACACAAGCCATAATGCCAATGTAGCAAGATAAGTTAATTCTTAAAAAATAAATTAAAAAGAGAAGAACTGCCAGTTTGGGAGCACACAGAGATGCCTAAAGGAGGACTGAAGGACAACTTCAGTAACAGAAGTGTGAGCAGAGAGAAGGATGGGGAGGCATGGGAGTGAGATGGGGTCCTGTTTGCTCCCAAATGCATGTTAGACAGGTGTTTTATATAAGTTGAACAGCTTTCACAGGGACACCAAGTGCTTCAAATAACTTACAACTTGCTGTTTGGGGTGACTCTTGAGAGCTGGCAGATGTGATACCTGGCACGTTGTAACATTTGTTTCCCTTATTTCCCTTACCCTTACCCCTTACCCTAGTGTCCCAGTGGCCCAGTAATTAGCACCACTCGTAGCGAGACAAGAAACAATGTTCAGGAGTTCTAGGGGATGTAAGCCTAGAATGGTGATCCTAAAATGACAATCACTGCTCTGCAACCCAAATTTAAGAGAGAAAGAACTGGAACTTTACATCACAAATCTTCCCAGCACACTCTCCTTGTCAAGGCCACAGCCAGGTGCTATCAGTGGAGTGGCATGGCCATTAGGGTAGCACATAGTGTCTAAATCTTGTGTTACCACAGGTGGTTTTCTTAGTGTTTGAGGACACCACCTTTGAGCACAGATCCTATTAACACAACTCTGCTCTCAGTGCCTGTACCTTTCCTTTATAAATACTGTGCGTAGCCCAGAGCAGCTGTGTTGAACATTGCTTCTCTTGCAATGTGACAGAATACAGTTATTGAATACAATCCTTTTTTCTTTCTTTTTCTTTCTTTTTTTTTTTTTTTTTTTTTTTTTTTTTTTGTGTGTGTGTGTGTGTGTGTGTGTGTGTGTCAATTCAGAGCCTAACTTTTACCCTTGTTCAGCTTATTGTAGGGCACCAAATCCCATGTACATTCCAAAGCCTCTCACAGTAATCTTACAGAACCACAACTATTTCTTTTTTTAGCCTAAGAAACACCCCAGCCTGGCATTTCAAGGCATCAAACCATTTAGGCATGTTTCCCCAGCAAC